AAAATCAGTTAATTTATTTGTAACACAATCACACAACAACACAGGTCCAATCCATCAAAACGAAGAGATGCACCCAAATGAAGCGCAGTATGCAGACAATTAACAAGGTACGCGAAGTACGAGAAGACTTTAAATACCAACACTTACTTCAGGTTCGAATACACTGCCTTCCTACCTATCTAAGCTCTTTTCAATCTCTAGTGACAAATCGTCACTTTAATTATTACAATTATCAAATAGCAAATATCTGCTTTACACTATAAATTTGATCAATCACAGTTCCGCTAGCAATCTATCCTATCTCTCCCTTTCTCTAGCTTGAAAGCCTAAAACCAGTGGCACGCGTGCCATTTATGGCACGCGACACATTATTTTGAGCACGCCACTGTCTAAAACGATTTGCATTTTAATTAAAAATAATGGATTTCAATATGAAGTATTACGAGAAATGTGAGTGATCGGTCGCAATCAGTGGCGCACACAAGGGGGGTGTCCTAGGGGTTTAAATACCCCCCATAGCCCTTGATTTTTTTTCGAATAGTTATAATCCTATGTATTTCTTTCGTAAAACTTAATTATGTATTTGTTATTAATAATTAATTTTATTAATTAATGCTAATTATTTATTCAATAATTAATTTTGTATTGTTTTTGTTCCCGAAAATCAAAAAAATCAAAAGAATATGTTGGGCGGCGTATTGGAGCATGATACCAAAATGGTGGACTTTTGACCCTGGCCCTCCCCCCTTGAAAAATTTTTGTGTGCGCTACTGGTCGCAATTTTCAGTAAGATTTTCTTAGTTGAAAGAATTATCGGAAACGCTTAAGTTTTTCATGTACCCTTATATATAACTTCATTTAATAAATTGAATTTGTCCCATTTCTATTGGTTGTAAATTGAAAATTTTGAAATGCAACTGATTGATTTCCATTCTAATTCAATATGGATTCAAAAATTTGTTGAAAAAAAGAGAAAGTTGGAATTGATTAAAACAGAAAGATTAACAAAAGCTATATAAGTAAAAATGCTAGTAATGAAATTTTGGAAACATAGAATTCGATTCCTCTCTAAGAAACCGTTTGGAAGACGATTCCAATTCAGGTTGCATTCTGGTAAAAGTAACATCTTTCAGTCCCAATACAAATTGTTTGTCATCTAATCTAACACAACGGAATTCACACTAATGTTACTTTAATTTGAATTACACGTAAAAAATAAAACATTTACTGTTATACTGTACAAACTGTATTTTTTCGTTGTAATTAAAGAGTTTTGAGTTGTTAGTATTTAATTTTATTATTTTCTCAATAATCACAAGTCAAAATTATTTGTGTGACGGCACATCAAAATCTCTTTAAACATTTCTTAAAGAAAAAATGGCACATTGATCCAAAAAAGTTCGCCCCACCCCTGGCTTAGACTATATATACTAGACCTAATTTACACATTTACCTTCTTTTTTTCAGAGGGTGTGTTTTAATAAAATAGTTTTTAAGGACTAAAGATTCCCCAAGAGGATTTTTTTTAATAAGGACACGGATAGAGCCGTCACAGATTGAATTCCTACATCAATCATTTTAAAATATTCTTTACCTTTTGAGGAATTCTGTAAATAGTGTGTAACTATCATATTAACTGAAAATTCAATAGTTACTATCCCATTACTCAATACATATGCAGGGTATTCAAAACCCGAAGTACAAACATTTAGGTGAACTAAAACAAAGTCAAAATTACATTAGAAATAAGTAATGTAAAAAAAAATAAAGACAATTCCTTCTTATGTCAACCAAGAAAGATCTTATTTTAGATACTTTTTATTAAATAATTACAATTAATATAAATATGTATATACATACGATAAAATCACAATAATATTGACAAAATAGAGAAAGCCATTTTCCTTGCAATTTTCCATTTTCATTTCTATATAGGGTGCTGGACTATTATTTTTGTTTGTGTTACTATTTATTGATTAATTAAATTTAATTATTCCAATAAAATAGTATACTTAAAAGAAATCACATTCTCAGAAATTAAGCCATTGCAGGTGGGATTCGAACTCACGACCTTTGGATTAGAAGTCCAAGGCGCTATTAATTGCGCTACAGAGTCGCAACGAGCGATTTTCCTTTTTATATAGGGTGCTGGACTATTATTTTTATTTGTTAGTAATTATTCATTAATTACATATATTTAATGAGTTAATATTTGAAAAAAAACTGTATTAACATCAAGTGTCATCCACTACAAGTTTAAATAAATGTGTTTGAACTTGAGTGGATGAATAAAAAGTATTTTATCAACGATTGAAATTTTGAATAAGATATATAAATATATAGGGAGAGTATGAGCTCACATTAGGAATTGAAGAAAAAGAAACGTCAAAAGCGCTGAACTATAGAAATAATTGAACTTTAGGACTATCTTTTAATGAATATAAGCACTATTTCACTTTTTTAGTGAACAGATTCTTATAATTCTATAAGCATTTTTAAAATACTACATTTTCAATATTTTTAATTTCAAGTTATTAAAATTTCTTGGATTATTAAAAATAGATTCGGCATAGAATTGAAAATTTGAGTATTTGCTGGTTATTTTAATTATTATTTTTGTACGTAAATCCTCAAAAATATGAAAATTCTAAAAATATTAATGCATTGATTATAAAAAAAAATATAACTAAACCCCTCAGATCTAAATCCATACTAACTTTTATATATATAGTACACATATATGAAAGTATCTACAAAGAATTTAAAGATTATATTAAACAGGAAAAAAAAGTTTTAGAATGAGTCAGTGAGGGAAATATTGACGTCGCACTGTTCAGCTACACGAGGGTTTTTGGGGACGGACCTCGTAATTTTGACCCATGGTCAAGTGACGAACCTGAGCTGGCACCCCTCGGCTCCTAACTACCACAACAACGGGAGGACGTGATTCTCGACAGATTTAACGAGCATCTCTTCCCTACACGGCGGGTCTTTAGTGGTACTGGGCTCGAACTCATGACATGCATGTCTTGATCCGATACCCTATACACTGGGCTACCGTGGCCACGCATTTTTATGGAAATCATAGTCTTTGTAACGTAAGATAGAATTCATTATCGATTCACATGCATCAGTTCCAACACGCACTAAACTTGTTGAGGGTCCTGTAGTTGACGGCACAGGGTGGTTCACAAAGTCCGTATTAATCTGTGTTGTCATAAAAAGAGTCTCAATAGCATTCCCTTCCCTTTACCTCTTAAGTGCCTCCTCCGGCACATATAAGCGTCTCACTCAGCCGAAGTGTTAATTGCCCCGGGCTTACATATACGTCTTTCCGAAGTACGATCTTTTCAGTGCATTGCTATCCATATAATTTTTCCGAAGGCTTTGGAGTGCAATAAAAGGATCTTGACAGTTTTTGCGAAGAATTTGAAAATTTCAGAGGATTTTGATTATTTATTCTTTTTCTTTCCCTCCCCCCTCCCCAATACATCACATACGCGCGCTTACGAGAAAAATGGTGGAATTGAAGAGTGAATAACGTAATTTTTAATTGGGAGTAAAGGGATTAATTACAAACTGTACAAATTATCAAGTGTTAATTTTTGTATATAAGTTTATATATGGCAAGCCCATAAAATTACTTGTAATAATTAAATTTGTTTTTAACTTTTAGTATTGTTAAATTAATTATAAAATACCTTGCGCAGTGCTGGTACATTATAAGAGTATTATATCAGTGATAATGTGTATTTTATTTTTCTTATGTCAGAATGCATTTTGTTTGTTTACGTTCAGTAAATTAATAATATTTTAAAATAATCTCTCGCTCCCCTCATAGAGTTATCACGCCCCACAGTTTGAGAAACTCTGCTTTAAACTGATGTAACAAAAAGAGCAAGTGCAGTAAACAACTCTGAATCCATATTATTAATCATTCATCCCTTGTTGACATAACTGATCGTTTGTCATTTTGATATGTGACTTCATTTTTTTTTATTATTCATGCTATTTACCAGATGCCGGAAATGAAAAGTGCTACGTATCTCATTTTATGGTGAAAAGTCGTGAATGGGTGATTACATTCTGAATGGAAAATCACCCGTGTCAATCACTGTTGTTTTTCTTACTTTATTTCTCTCTTTACAGTCCTTAAGAAAGTTCCAGTCCAAGTCTCCGTCAGAAACTGCGAAATAAAGAAGGAATATCACATCACAATACCTCAGTTTATTGTGCTGTAAGTATGACAAGATTTAGAACAAGTTTTATTACATGTCCCTCTTCCGACTAAACAAATTGGATTGTATTTTTCCTAAGTCACGCACAAATATCATTGATTTTAATATTTAATGTCTTAATTAGAACACAGCGAATGTGAGTTTTTACGACCAATATTCTTTAGATTTTACTGTTTTCTTGAAGTTGTAAAACGCGCTGTAATTGGTCAGAGTTGAACGTACCCAAGATAAGCAAGAGAATTTGTTTTTCTGCCTTTCAATGGTACGATGCATCGGCTTATTAAAAACAAATGACGAATAAACACAAAATGATTTATTAACCCAGATTTATAAACTGGATAGCCGTCAATGATGTTTGGCTGACAAATTACTGGTAATTTCACACTATGATAACCGCAAATTTATGTAGCGGAACAAAGAGTGTGAATTTAAGGTATCCGACTACGTTCGGAATAGTGATTTTAAAAAAAACGCATAAATAGATAATTTTCATGATCTTTAGTGTCACTCAGATTAGAATACATGCATAAAATTGCTTTAAGGACATTTTAACAAAAAAAATTTATTTAAATACAATATTTTGGCAAAAAATTAACTTAGAATAATCTTTTTTCAAAATGTTCTTCTTTTGTGAAAAATGCTTCTATTATAATACTATTTTGCCTGTATATAGCTCAGACCTCTCTACAGAGGCTCAACTAGAAATTTTGAAAAATTCACATTATTTTCAGAGTTACCACCAATTAAAATATAATTATTGGCATTTTTTTCTTAAAATTGCTCCCCTCTGTTGTCGCAAAATATGGATAAACCCACTTCTAAGTTATATATTTCAAAAATTCGAGTTGAGCTTTAGAGAGGTCTGAGCTATATACAGGCAAAATATTATTATAATAGAATAATTTTTCACAAAAGGAGAACATTTTGAAAAAAGATTATTCTAAGTTAATTTTTTGCCAAAATACTGTATTTAAATAATTTTTTTCGTCAAAATGTCCTTAAAACAATTATATACATGTATTCTAATCTAAGTGATACTAAATATCATGAAAATTATCCATTTATGCGCTTTTGCAAAATCACGGTTCCGAACGTAGTCGGATACCTTAAGTCAAGATTAGTTTGGCTTGTGTTTATTATCATTTCCCAAAGTTTTAAGGAGACATGGTACGATTTACGCAAAAATTTTTAATTTAAGGATTTTTAAAAAAAATTTGGTTGTCTCCTATGTATGTATACTATGATAAACAAATTTTGTGCTCAAAATTTCATAAAAACCTAACCCTTTAATTTTTTAAGGAAAAATCTTTAAAATTTTGAAGTGATTTTAAAATGCTACTCCTCCTACAAAAATTGACGTACATGCATGAAATTTGACTTACAAGGACGTCAAACTATGTATAATAAAAGTTGGTATGGGTTTTGCGTTAACGTGATTGGTATTCATACAATATTTCTTTTTATGAACGTTTATTGAAAATTCCTTAAAAAATATATAAATTCTGAGTTCAATTATTTTTTAAAAAATAAATATTGCTTTGATTTAAAAATGCATACTAACTTTTGTTACATGTACTATTAGCAATAGGTAAAAAAAATTTCAAAGCATTAGGCGCAATAGAAAAAAAGCCTTAGCATTTTAAATGTAGACAAACTAGTTATTTTATCTTTCTGAGATAAGTAAGTTTAAAGTTTTTTTTTATCATAGGATGTGAATAAAAACGAACGTGAAAGCTATCATAATTCTGCGTGTTTTTTAAGTTTAGAACTTTCAAATTTTGTGAGGTTATAAAAAAGTATATAAAGATTTGATTTTTTGACCGATTTTTGGTCAATTGAATCGTACTGTGTCCTTTTAAGATGGTATTAATTCAGTTGATACATTGTGACAGGTCAAGACATGGCAATCTGTAGCGCGTGCACGCGCGACAATGTGAATACTTTATATTTTATTAAAGGTCTAAACCAGGGATGGCCAACCCGCGGCGCGCGTGTCACAGTGTGGCATGGGAAAGTTGTAACAGTGGCACGCGAAGACTTACTGAAAAATTTAAAAGTTTTTGAAAATATAATAAATAACCATTGCTTACAATTTTATTGAAGTGGGGTAGTCTCAGGAAAAAAACCCGAAATTTGGATCGAAATATATTTGTGTATGAATAAATGTTTTCTACTATGAACATAATAAAATAAATATCACCCAAAATTAGGTGATTTACACCTATAATAACTTAATTTTGTAGGCATCTGTAAGAGCTAATCCTAATATAGGTGACTTGGTAAAAAAGGTAGTAATTCAAAAACCCCATTAAGTTAATTCTGAGCGTTTCATAATTATTTTGAATTAAATATGATTCAAGTTACTCATTCTTATTTTGCACCTAAACTAACTGATTGAACTTGTAAAAAGTTTATCAACAATAAAAAAAAATTAAGTTTGAACTTTTGCTTTATTTATTGTAATATTTTTAAATTCCGACTACACATAGTATTGTATTAAAAAATATACTTTTTCTGTAAAAATCCCATAATAAGATTATAAGTAAAATCTTTTCAATTTTCCATATTTATTTGTAGGAAAAGTTGAAATTGGCACGCATAACTATTTTTTTTTATCAAATAGTGGCACTCTTCACAAAAAGGTTGGTCACCCCTGGTATAAAGAGTAAACCATGCGCGCATAAAAATTTATTTAAAAGTATAATTTTTAATTTTATTAGTAAAGGGCTCAATTCATGTGACGTCGTAGTCACATGATAGTGAAAGCCACGTGATTCTAACCAATCAATTCAAAAACTCATGCGACGTCATAGTCACACGATAAAAACTATCTTGTGTTTCCAACTAATCAGTTCACACGCTCCAGTGTTGCCAAGTTTTGCT